CGCATGGACCTGCAGCAGCCGGCTGCCAACCTGGGCGAGCTGTGCCGCAGCTGCGAGCACCCCCTGGGTAGGCGCGGGCAGGGCTTGGGGCTCCCAGCGAATCCAGACCTTAGCGGATGCGGGCAGCTGCTGGGAGGCCTCTCCAGCCTTCCCAACTCTGCCACCTGTCCCCACCTGTCTCCGTGGCAGCTGACCACGTGTCTCACCTGGAGAACGTGTCGGAGGATGAGATCAACCGGCTGCTGGGTATGGTGGTGGACGTGGAGAACCTGTTCATGTCGGTGCACAAGGAGGAGGACACGGACACCAAGCAGGTGTATTTCTACCTCTTCAAGGTGAGCTTGCCGGGAGCAGAGGGGTGCATTGCGTGCTATTCGGGGGCTCTGCAGCTCTGAGCTCTGCTGCCCCTGTCCTCCAGCTCCTTCGGAAATGCATCTTGCAGATGACCCGGCCCGTGGTGGAGGGGTCCCTGGGCAGCCCCCCATTCGAGAAGCCGAACATTGAGCAGGTGGGACGGGGAAAGGAGCTCCTGTTCCCCTGGGTCCTCATGCTGGGAGCTGGCAAGGTTCACAGAAGGGCAACGGGTGTGTTCTGTGCCCACCTCCTGCTGGCTGCTCACTCGGCTCCTTACGGTCTGTCCTCTCCCAGGGTGTGCTCAACTTCGTGCAGTACAAGTTCAGCCACCTGGCGCCCCGGGAGCGCCAGACCATGTTCGAGCTCTCTAAGATGTTCCTGCTCTGTCTCAACTACTGGAAGCTGGAGACGCCCGCTCAGTTCCGTCAGCGGTCCCAGTCTGAGGACGTGGCCACCTATAAGGTCAACTACACCAGGTGGGCCCAGCATGCCCAAGGCCAGCAGCCCCCCTGGCTTTGCAACGCCCCCTCACCTGCCGCCCCTGCCCCCAGGTGGCTCTGTTACTGCCACGTGCCCCAAAGCTGTGACAGCCTCCCTCGCTATGAGACCACCCACGTTTTCGGGCGTAGCCTGCTGCGGTCCATTTTCACCGTGACCCGCCGGCAGCTGCTGGAAAAGTTCCGAGTGGAGAAGGACAAGCTGGTGCCCGAGAAGAGGACCCTCATCCTCACCCACTTCCCCAAGTAAGGCTCCTTCCAGCCTGCTGGCCCTTTGCTGGCCCCACCGCACATCCTCGCGGCTGTCCCTTTTCCTAGCACCCCAAGAAACCAGAGCTTACGCTGGAAGCGACACCATTCCCACCAAGCGGCGCCTGGCCCCAGACCAGAGGCTTCCTTCCGCCCAGAGCCCGACTCCCTTTGCCTGCCTGCCCTGGGCCAGTCTGTTTTCTCGCCTCTGGTTAGAGAAGGCACATGGCCAGGGCTTCCGGCGGGCAGCACTGCCTCCTGTGTCCACTTCCCAGCCCGAGAATGGGCTTCAGTGAGAGGCTGCGGGCCGGAGTGGCAGGGCCGTCTGTGCTGCCCTCAGGTTCCTGTCCATGCTCGAGGAGGAGATCTATGGGGCCAACTCTCCCATCTGGGAGTCAGGCTTCACCATGCCGCCCTCGGAGGGGACACAGCTGGTGCCCCGGCCAGGTGGGTGGTGCTGCAGGCTCCAGGGATTCAGCTGGGGCCGGGAGGGCCTGGGTCACCTTCCTGCCCGTCCCTGACACTCTCTCTGTCCCTCAGCCGCAGTCAGCGCTGCGGTGGTTCCCAGCACCCCGATCTTCAGCTCCAGCATGGGAGGGGGCAGCAACAGCTCCCTGAGTCTGGATGCCACGGGGGCGGAGCCCATACCAGGTGGGCACTTGACCCGACTTCTGACCTCCCTCCCCTTCAGCCTTTTGCCGTGGGCAGTGACCTCCCTGCCCTCCCGCAGGTGAAAAGAGGAAGCTGCCAGAGAACCTGACCCTGGAGGACGCCAAGCGGCTGCGTGTGATGGGCGATATCCCCATGGAGCTGGTCAACGAGGTCATGCTGACCATCACGGACCCCGCAGCCATGCTGGGCCCCGAGGTGGGCGGGGCTTGTGACGGGGCGGGGCCCCGGACGGGTGCGG